AGGAAACAAAACTTCCAGAACACGGCCACACAGCCCGGAAGACCCATACCAGCCATTAAAATATACAATCTGTAGTGCTAAGAATGGGGTATAATTAATGAAAACAAAGACATTCTATATGGCAGGTATACTTTTGTTTGTATACTATGAGGAACTGTAAATTAATCTTAACATAAAGGACAATGTTGAGTGCTGATATTTTATTTTTAATGCAGATATAAACAAATAAAACAGATTAAATTCAATAATGGTAATTTCTCCAAATCTAATTATTGTTTTCCCTATTAAAGGGAGCCCATGGTATTGGGTTGTGGGAGGGTGAAATATTTCTTCATTGACATCTGGGGTCAGTAATCTAAGTGGTCAAAGTGAAGCCAACATACAGTTGTGCTGTGACCCAATTGTGCTAGTTGGTGTTTGGAACCCAAATTCAGGAATGGACACAAAAGGAAAACAGTTCTTCTACACCCTTCTCCTGATACATAAATGAAGGTACTGGCTTAATTCTGGTAGCGCCAAATAACATTTAAGACTGTATTCAACTAATCTAGAATAGAATCTTACCAGCTTCAAAACCCAGAACTGATATTTTCACTACTTGTACCATTATAGGCATCTTAGGCACTCCACGTTTACCATCTTCATCCTGTCCCCCTCCAATGTTTAAAGCAGTTTTATGCTTCCCCAAAAATGTGCTCACCAATGCTGCCCTCATCATTCACAAAGCTTTCTGTGAAACAACCAGCAACTCAGTTCTTTTCTTGAATGGCCTCGTTATTCAATACAATGAAGTCAGCAGGAATTCCACAGAGAATATGCTTAGGACATTTATCAGTTGCCTCTTTTATAACTGTATATAAAACCTGGCTAGTTAGCAGCAGAAGAAAAACATTTCTTGTATTTTTTGACTAGCTGTTAAAAATATTTATTAAATTTCTGCTGATCTTGTTTGTTCAACTTGCTTCCTTCTGAAGTCTAGCATTCATTGAAAGTTACATCAGGAGGAAATAGTTTACTATGGCTTGCTAACTCAAATAAAGAAATGTTGGAAAACAATAATGGTTAAAACAAAAAGAACACTGGAAAATATATAGTTCAAGAATTCAGTTACCATTTGCTTCTTTTTGTCTGATGCTACTCTGACCATAGATCATTAACATTCGTATTTCAAGTACCGACATCATTTCATTAATAACACATTTTCTACACTCCAACTTAGTGGCTTTTCATATCATAAATCCAAGAGCTGGAATGGACCCAGTTGATGATGTCCCAATCACGTCCACAAAGGCAAAGTTCTACCTACTGAGTATGCACAAACTTGTAGTAAAAAACAAAAATTCAGATCTGATAGACAATAGGAATATTGTTTGCTGTAGTCTTGCTTCTTCCCAAAATACTCACTGCTGGGTAGCCATGATAGAAGTATTTATAATAAAAGCCTACAAGTGATAACCAAATCAAACTGAGTATGTAAAAATATCATGATCCTAAGAGATTTGTGTACATGTTACCACACCTATGCAAATAATAGTAATAACAACAACAACAACAAATTAAACTTTCCCACTGGTCCATTTATTCTTAAGTAGCAATGCCCTCCTAAAACTAAAAAAAATATATTTTCCAGTACTCCTTATTTCTCAAAAGTAGAGATTCTGAGGACTGAGCTTGGGGCTTTGTGAACCACAAGCTGTGCTATGGCCTCTAGAGCTATCTGAGCAAGCAAAAGGTACCTTTATGGGTCAACTGTTGCACTCCTGATTTCTCATTTCACAGAAGACTAGTGCAGCTAAAATCTATCTGAAATCTAGGTAACAAACCTATTTCGATAATACAACTAATTATGTTTTACATTTTAAAGAGTTTTTTTATGGGAAATTTTGAAACCATTTCTTAAAACCAAGTACTGTAATAAATCTCAACTCTATTTGATGTGACTTACTTCCAAATAGCTATTCATAAGAGAATTCAGGTTCGTGGTGGATTAGAAATAATAAAATAAAATAGGATTGCCGCAAATAGCAACATTGTAAGGTTTGAATATTTGGATTGAAATATACTACTTTGCAGAAAACTGACAGTGGTAGAAAAAGAACTGGAAGGAATTGAGAGATTCCTTGGCAATTTCAGTCTTAAAACAGGGCTTCCCAGTAGGTGGCACCATAAAACCTTCCTAGATGCAAATGATGCCTCCCTCCACACCCCAAATACCAGAAAACAAACACACACAAACACAAACTTTAACTATTGTGTATGCTAAAACGTGCTAAATAATCAACTGTCTAGTCATCTATAGACAGAAGGCCCACAATTATTACAAAGCAACAAATGTACAATATAAGGAATGACAATCCATTAATTCCAACATATATTTACAGGTGAAGCGTGTAATTTTACAGTTTGTCTGCTCTGCAGACCTCTGTCCTGTTTAATTCTCTTAAAATTGACACTATACCTTTACATGGTTTCCTGGTTCCTGGTTCCTGGTTACAGGAACAATATAATGAAAACCAAATATTAAATGGGTAATCTTACTAATATAATTTTCTGAAACCTAAATATAAATCCAAGAATGTATAACATCATGTATGGATTGTATTATTTCTATAAGAGGTACATTTATGCAGTATTTACTACATAGGGGTTTGGAACTTGTTGAGCCTACTGTGGTTATAAAACGGCATTTCAATTTTGCTTAATAAAAAAATAAGAGCAGATATCCATGTTTGCATCCTTAGATCCTCTCTGTATTTCCTTACAGGGCTGAGATGGCATCCTGTTTCTTAACCATGTTTACTTCGCTTTAAGCAACATAAAGCCAGGAATTCATTCAGCTTCCCTGAATTGCATTTCTTATACTAAGTGTTTATGATAGCATCTGCCTTAGGAAAAGGATCTTTTACTTAACTACCTGTCATTTTGTAAGGGATGCCATTTTATTTTTATACTCTTCAAGTGTCACTAAAAATACCAATGCAGATCTTCCAACCCTTACTATCATTTGTCCTCAGACTTTTTTATCTGAAGTACTCAACAGAGCTTTTAACACTCCAAAGTACCTTTAACAACTATCTTGTATGAATGGCAAGGCAACTTGGCAAAAATGTTTGTTCCAATTTGGCTGAGCAGCATCTACTATTAATTCCACACAGCAGTTCCTTATAGCAACAAAGGCTTATGTGGATAAGGATAAAATACAGACTTACTGTCCATTGGTTAACTTTTGAAATACTCATGATCTTGATTAGTTCCTTGATTAGGGTATTGTTTTCCACTTGACTGTTTGTCATTTACACACCATTCAAAAGAGATAATAAAAAAGCTATGAAGGAAACAAAAAGACCAAAACACATCCTTGCCAGCAGCCAACACCCAAATAAGCAGGGATTAACACCTGACAAACAATCAAGCGAAAACAATACCCTAATCAAGGACCTCCCAAGGAGAAAACCACACTCCCACCAACACTGACAGGGCAAGCTGTTGTATATAAACAGGGAGCAAACCCCACACTCAGTAGCACTGATTATGTTACCTAGC